TAACCACAGGCAGTGGCAAGAATGAGGGAATAATTAATAAGAATATTACAATAATAACAGGCAGTGGTAAGAATAAGACAATAATTACAAAGAATAATACAATAACCACAGGCAGTGGTAAGAATAAGACAATGATTTCTAAGGATAAGTCAATAACTACAGGCAGTGATAAGAATGAGACAAACATTACTAAATACAGGCAGTGATAAGAATGAGACAAACATTACTAAAAAAATCCAATAACTACAGGCAGTGGTAGAATAGGACAAAAATTACTAAGAATAAGACAATAACTAAAGGCAGTGGTAAGAATAAGACAATAATTACTAAGAATAAGACAATAACTACAGGAAGTGGCAAGAATGAGGCAATATTTACTAAGAATTAGACAATAACTACTGGCAGTGATAAGGATGAGACAATAATTTCTAAGAATAAGACAATAACTAAAGGCAGTGGTAAGAATAAGACAATAATTACTAAGAATAAGACAATAACTACAGGAAGTGGCAAGAATGAGGCAATATTTACTAAGAATTATACAATAACTACTGGCAGTGGTAAGGATGAGACAATAATTTCTAAGAATAAGACTATAACTACAGGCAGTAGTGAAAATGAGGTAACAATTACTAAGAATAAGACTATAACTACAGGCAGTAGTAAAAATGAGGTAACAATTACTAAGAATAAGACAATAACTACAGGCAGTGGCAAGAATGAGACAAACATTACTAAGAAAAATATAATAACCACAGGCAGTGGTACGCATGAGACAAACAGTACTAAGATTAAGACGATAACTACAGGCAGTGGTAAGAATAAGACAATAACTACAGGCAGTGGTAAGAATGAGACAAACATTACTAAGAATAAGACAATAACCACAGGCAGTGGTAAGAATGAGACAAACATTACTAAGAATAAGACAATAACCACAGGTAGTGGTAAGAACGAGACGATAATTACTAAGAATAGTACAATAACCACAGGCAGTGGCAAGAATGAGGGAATAGTTACTAAGAATAAGACAATAACTACAGGCAGTGGTAATAATGAGACAATAATTACTAAGAATAAGACAATAACTACAGGCAGTGGTAAGAATGAGGAAATAATTACTAAGAATAAGACAATAACTACAGGCAGTGGTAATAATGAGACAATAATTACTAAGAATAAGACAATAACTACAGGCAGTGATAAGAATGAGACAATAATTACTAGGAATACGACAATAACTACAGGCAGTGGTAAGAATGAGGGAATAATTACTAAGAA